TTGCTGATGAGTTCGGGATTATGATTATTGACGAAAGTCCAGCTGTTAACACTGAAGGTTACTCCGACGCATTGTTAGAAAATCATAAAAAATCTCTAACTGAATTAATACAAAGAGATAAAAATAGACCAGGTGTCATAATTTGGTCGGCTTCAAATGAACCTAGGACGCAATTTAATGAATCAGCAGCGTACTACAAAGAAGTTATCTCCCATATTAAGAGTTTGGACACCACACGACCTGTAACTATCGCAAATGCCCAACAACCAGACGTTGACCACTCTACCCAATTTCTCGACATTGCGTCGTTTAATTTGTACTCTGCGTGGTACTTCGACCCTGGCGATGTCGATGTCATTATACCTCACGTTCTAGAAGTTGCAAGACGATGGAACAAACTCCATAATATCCCAGTTATAATAACAGAATATGGGGCAGATACTCTAGAAGGTTTACATACTGTAACCAACACCAAACGTTGCATAAACAAATTTTAATTGACTTAATTCCAGTTGCCGTCATTTATTTGGTCAGAAGAATATCAAACAGAAATTATGAGCAAACATTTCCAAGCTTTCGATCAATTGCGCGAAGAAGGTTTCTTTATTGGAGAAATGATTTGGAATTTTGCCGACTTCAAAACCGATCAAGGTAAAAAACAATATTGTAATGCTTGCAATAACTGTTTTTTAGCTTATACTCGAGTTGGGGGAAACAAGAAAGGGATTTTTACCCGAAATCGTGAGCCCAAAGCAAGTGCCCACTTATTGAGACAGCGTTACTGGAGTTTAGCCGAAAAATTAGACAATGCTGTGGTTCCAGATGATCTTTATCACTACATTTATGGGTCTGGAAATGAGAAAAATGAATTGTAAATTACAAATAATAAAAAAAAACATTTCAAAAGTGCGAACACGTGAACAAGTCGCATAATTTATGCTTTATTGCTGTTTCATGTTGTAACAACTAATAAAATGTTATTGCTTGAATAAAAAATCAATAAAATTACATATTCTAAAGAATTTCACTATATCTGCGACTTGAATCCTAATTTGCAATTTAGAAAAATTAAATAAATAGGTTTGAGACGTGAAATGAAATATGATAAAAAAATAAAACAATCAATTAGTAAATTCGTACTCTATTGCTGTTAATTATTACATAATAAACATATACCCTAATCAGTCGTACGTACAAGTTTAAAAAAAGTAAAATACTTGAAAAAAATATACTTTTTCGGCTTTTATTCAATCATCTTCACGTGGTGGTTCTACGACTTGTAAACAAGCATCGGCAAACTCCACAAAAAGTGGTTCCTGCATGGCCATTTGCATAACCTTCTCTGCTTCTTTCGAATTGTTAATAGTGACCAGCAAATCCCTCAAATGTGGATTAGAAAGCAAATTTTTCAAATTTTCGTCCCCATCTGAAATACGTAACCTTAGCCACAGCCCAGAGGGCGCTTCGAAACGTCAAACACCCAAATCAATCAACTCACTCAACAACATCAATTTTTCCAAAGGCACTGTATCTGCCGATGTGTACCTGGGCTTCGACTGGTTAATTTCAACCTGTGGATGTGTTTTTCCTTCATTCTTCACCCAAACATCACACTTGTTCTCCCTGTGTTTCCTACAACATTGCACGGAACAACTGGAAAAAGTAAGACCCTGTTCTACACCTACTTAAAACCAATACTTACTAGTAAACTAAACACGTGGGGCACTTGTATTTGCCCTCGTCTTTGCAAATAACGCATGATTTTTCCATTTGCATTTCTAATAAAGCATGTCGGTAAAGTAGGATGCGATAACGAGTAACGGCGGGGACTAGATGGCACCGGTGTGGCTATTTGGCGTCGCGACGCCGCGTTGTTGCTATAGCGACGCGTGATTTGGTAGGGGTGCAAGCGTCGCGACGCTGCTTTCCCAAAATCCAAACAGTTGCCGCGATTTCGTCGAAAGAAGCGCGTGGTGGTGCCGGTGGCGACATCTCGACGACGCGTCGAAAATTACCAACGGACGTTTTTTCTCAAAATTGTTATAATTTGACTGTTTTTCTAATTTTGCGTTTGGCTTTCCACTACGGGCATTTAATTCCAGCTGCTTGCGGGTAAGTTTTTCAAAATTTTGCGCGCTTTTCAAATGTTAGGTTATGTTTTGAATTTTTTTACAACCTTTTTTTTTGGCGCCAATTTTAATTGTTTGGGTACAAAATCCGATTATAAAGTTGGAACTGTAATTGCTTATTGTTTGGTGTTAGGGGGATTAACAGTTTTGCAAGATTGGGATAAAGGGGACCTCATGTGTGTTGAGGCATTCAGGCTTGAACTAGGCCAATGAGGTTTAAATATTGATTAGTAATCAAACCTGAGGGGTTTGACCACATACAATTTTGATGTAGGATTTAATTAAACTAGGCATCCGGGGGCCCCGGAAACTGTCTTGTTTTGAAGGAAACGGTCTATTGTACCCAGAGACAAATATTTGATTCATTTTATTTAAATAAAAACGGGAATCAAGCGTGCTTTATATGCTCTAGGGGAAACCCAGATAAACAAGCAACTGTTATTTTTTAAATTAATTAATTGAATATTAAATTATTATTTTTTTGTGAATTTTACTGTTTCATAATTGACGTCTGTTTGTTTGTTGGTTAAATAACTTTCGTGTAATCGACATCGACCCGTATTGTTTCAATGACAAAAAACCAATTTCATTTTGATACACACAATGCAAAAAAACTTAATTATTGGACAAAGGTTCGTCCCGACTTATCAGTTGTGCAAAGCGATTGGTTTCAATGAAGTAGAAATAAAAAAACATCCTTTTTAATTCGTGCAATCGAAAACATGGTCAAAGTAGCCACTCCCACTTCCATATTAGGCATCGATTTAGGGATTGATTTTCTTTTTTTTTCCCTTGCTGTTTTGGTAAAAAAACAAGCATCGACTTTCACAATGCTGACCCGGCCGAAAGGCCGTAAACTTCCAACTCCCTAAAAACGTACGACTGCTTTTAGCGCCCCGACGGCTTTGCCAGTGTAATTCACTCTCCCCTTACTAGGACGAAAACATTCTCGGTTGGGGATTATCGCGGAATTCACTTTCCATATTCGAAGGAAACTCGGAAAATTAATCGAATCGCGTGATGGAAATAACAAAAACATGGTTTTAATGAGATTTCCGCGTTCGGACACTGGTAATCAACTTTTTGACAGGACGATGGCGACGGTGTTGGAGAGATTTTAAACAACTTGCCAAAGTTGTAAGTGGATTTTACGGAGACGTGACATGGAGGGGTTCGCGCTAATTTACATTCATATCGATATTAAATTCGGGGATGAAATGGGGAAGGCTCCGGCATGGGGAAAATTGATTCCGCTAAGGCGGGAATTAAGATTTTCCAACACTTTCTTACAATTCTACAACTTGCAAATATTTCGTTATCCCAAATCACTACATAACCATTCGTTTAAAACATTTCAGAATTTTTCAGTTTTAAAGAGGTTGAATGAGACATTCTCTTAAATTCTTCTCAGAGCACACAATTTTAAATTTGCGTAGTTGTATATTTTCATTTTTGTTTGATTAATTATTTTGTTTATACTTGTTACACGGGGAATCAAATGCTGAAAAAAACGCAGATATGCTTTTAAAATTTTTGTCTATATCGCGAGGTTTTTTTTTGTCTTTGAAACATTTGTTATAGAGACTAACAATTTTTTGATGTGTTTTTGCCGAATTTACCTCTTCAGAAAATCTCTACATCTGGAAAACGTTTTACTTATGTATTTTTAAGATTTTTTTATTTGTTATTATTCTTAATACACGTTTTAGTGTCTCTTATTAGTGAAATACGAAATCATATTTTTACGGAAGCATTTATTTTTTATGAACTTTGATAAAATCGTAAAATTTTCCCACAAAAGAGCTGGTTTCTCAAAATTTATGGTACATATTTGACATAAAATCGGTTTGCGACCAATGTTGAAATTTTGGTCGGTCAGGTTAGATTCAATTTAACAAATCATAAATTAGACTAAAATTTACCAAAACCAATTTCTTGAAATCGTAATAATATGAAATTGATTTTGTTACGCATTTTTTATTTAAAAAAGGCTATACGTTTTTTTTGATATCGAGTGTGTCAAAAAAGTCGGACAGGCTTAACGGTATAAGATTTACATCATCAAAGAGAAATAAAAATAACCGAGTTTTTAGTTATTGGGCATTTTTATTATTAATGTGTAAAACACGCTTGAAGTTCATGAGAAGACCTGAGAATAAATAACGAAGTCTTAAAAGGGCAACAAAATTAATTTTATTTTACAATTTCTAAAAGTGCTCTAAGAAAACATTTACAAAATTTTGCCGCTCAACTATGAGAAAACTTAATTATTTTTTAATGGATTAGAAAATCGAGCTTCATGCATCCAAAACATCGACTGTACGAAAACATAGTAACTCATAAAAATTGGTTTTTAGTTACGATGGCTTATCTAGGGCCCAAAATACAAAAACAATGAGATTTTTTTTTAATTGTTGACCAAAATTGAGACCTTCAGCAATTTTAAATAGTATCAAACAGTTCCTTGATTTTTTATTAACAATTAAAGATTTAATGCAATTTTTTTCAAAACTGTAATTTTTTAGTTACTATAGTTTTCGTTGGGAGAGTCGACATGGCAACAGTTAAATTACCTTGCAGTCGAAATTTCTTGCAAATTAAAAAAAAACTAATACTTTTGTAAAAATAAATTTGTGTGCTAGAATATTTGCACAATACTAATAACAACGCAACATTATTTTACAAAATTTTATTTTATTTTTTCAAAGTTCTTAGGTCTTATCTAAGGTAAAAAGGTGTTCTTGAACTGTGTTGTCGATTATCTTTATTATTTTCTCTTTTTTCTCTAAAAAGTGAGTACTTAGAGCACTCGTTATAAAAAAAACCTTTTTTGTCACGCTTGTCCGGCCTTTTTGACACACCCGATTTATATATTTTATCAGTTTAGTAGATTCATTAAATTTCGTAACTTTAGTTTAATTAAAAAGGTTTTTGGTTTTTAAATCACACTGTATATCAGACATTTCATTTATTGAATAAGTTTTCTTTAAAGTGTGCATTTAGTCTCATTAAAAATGAATGTGACTTCTCCGGGACCTTTAATCTTCCTTTACCTTCTAAACCATTATTTATTAACACAGCAACTGTTAAAAAACGAATATTTAGTTGAAACAAACGCGCTCACAACGTATAGTATTTATTTAATCTTATATGAAATGTTTATTTCTCTCAACCGTCCTCAGGTAGTGTTTTCTCGCTCAGCATTTTATTTTCATTTCATCAAGACCTGACATTGGAATTTTTATTTATGTTGGAAAACGCGTAATTGATTTATGGGAGCATCGCGGGAAAGCCGGTCCTTCTCTTTGTAAATATGAGTAGTTTAGTTGCAAGGTGTCGCTAGGTAGAGTCTTGTACCCGTTTCGACATTAATGGCGCATAAATATCCAGCGAGGCTCTTTGTTTTCCGCCGGGGGAGCTCCTCTGTCAGGAACCACCCCGGGAACCCGCATAATTAGGAGCGCTGAGCGTCTGCGGCTGCACCCGACACGCCATCGTGGACCCGGTGACTTATGGCCGTACATTTCCGCAAACTCCTGGGGGAGGCCACCTCGCCGATCGAAGAGGAAAAATCCGAGCAAGAGGATGGAGAGAGGGTCCAGTGGATACGTTTTGTACATGGAAAAGTGGCTCGTTTGCATGCCGAGATTAGTGTGTGCAATGGCCATTTTTCACTTGGCGCCATAAATATGCACGCTCGACGCGTCTCTAATGTTGAATAATAATTAGGCCGGTGGCGGCGTCGGCGGCGGTCTCCCATGTTTCATTTATACGCCGTCGCCGCAGACGTGTACAACTTCCGATGCCAATCAACTAAATTACTAAACAACCTTCTCAAACTTCAACGATGAATTTAATATGACTTTGCTTACAAATTCCCGTGCTTTTCTACCATTAGTTTGTTTTTTTTCCGAGTTTTGCCAACTTGTTATCGGAGTACAAATTGCTACTGGTGGAAAAGATGCGGTTTTCACACGACGAGATAGCAGGCGACGAAAGGAAAATAACTACCAAAGTATACAAGTCTTATCTCTGGACTACAATGATTCTACTCTGGCTTATCCTTGCAAGGAACCTATCTGAATGTGTGTGCTGTGTGTATGTGTTCCTAGCAGCGTTTCGACATCACAACAAGACGAATTCAAGTTCTTTATACAAAAATTTTCTATTGTTGTTTCTGTTTGCTATTGTAGCATAATTCTGTCCCTCGAATTTGAGGGCACAATATTTTGCTACACTGGCTTTGCTTGTGTTCTAACGAAATCTGATTTTATGCAGGTAGAAATTAGGATTTACTACAATAGTATTTAAAAAAATAACCAATGGCCGAGTCCAAGGCTGTTGACGAATTACTCCTCGGTGATGGCTTCTCGATAGTTGATAGTACGAAAGGGGACGCTCCTGAATCCGATTCCAAAAAGAGATCTTCAAAGGACAAGGAGAAAGAAAAGGAGAAGAAACCCGAAGTGAAGAAAGAAAAGTCCGAGGAGAAGCCGAAGGAAGTAAAGAAGGAAGAACCTCCGAAAGATGACACCAAAGTCAACGGACATGACACTAAGAGTGACGCTCTTCTTATCACCACGGAGGAAGATCTGGATATGACCGAGAAAGACAAGAAGAGCGAAGCTGACACCAAAGAAGAAGATTCCAAATCGAAGAAAGATTCCGAAAGTAAAGAAAAAGAAAAACCGGTTGATAAAAAAAAACAAGGAGACTTGTGGGTCTCTAATATCACTCGACATGTCAAAGCGACCGATTTGAAGAAACACTTCTCGCGCCATGGTAAAGTCCTAACTGCCAAAATCGTAACCAATGGCAAGTCGTTCTTTGGTTACATCCTCATGGAAACTTCCGATATTGCCAACAAGTGTGTGAGGAGTCTCCACGGTTCGTCTTTAGACGGTCGCAAGATCACAGTGAGCCGACAAAGACCCGATCAAAGGCGTCCCATGACCGATCGCAAACCCACAGTCAAAGCAACCAAAACTGACCGAAAACCCGAAAAAAAGTCTGACGATAAGAAATCCGAAAAATCTGAAAAGCCAGACAAAAAAGACGACGCTCTTGCCGCAGCCAAACGTACCGAAGACCGTCTTCGGCGCGAAATCGACTTCCACAAACGCGAAGTTGTGAGACTAAAGAGGTACCTTACTGACGAGCAACGCCGCCTTCGAATCGAGCAACAGAAGAATCGTTCCCTCGGTCGAGAGTTACAAGAGGCCGAGTCCAAACTGCGTGAAGAACGAAGAAAAATGGACCGTGAACGCGAAATGTTCGAGAAGAATCAACGCACCGATCGGGTAAAGCTCGAAAATGACCGATCAATGATCAAGAAAGAGTTGGAAGAAGTGAAGAAGCTTCGCGAGTATCTCAAACGCAAGTTAGAAGAAGAGGCCCGTCCGGTGGAGCGCCGCCCTCGGGCCTCCTCCCCATATGCTTACTCCTCGAAGAGGTTCCGCGAGTCGTCTGGAGGCGACAAGAATTCCAAGTACGTGGAGGAGCGTACACGGACCCCACCTTCGCCCCCGAAGCTCTCCTCCAGGTCGAAACGCTCTCCGGTCAATTCCTTCGTGGAGAAAGAGCGAAGACCTCATCATTACAGCATGTCCGAAAGGGAGGAAGTTCGCTCATTGGTGATCCCCGCCAAGCCGTCCGCACCGGCAGCCCCCCGGAACATCTGGCCGTCGTTTCATCAGGAGGTGTGGAGGGTGCCCCCGGGGACGGCGACAAGTTCGCCGTTTTCAGGGCAGTCATATACAAGGCAGTCCGAATACAGTAGCTCCTCGACTAAAGGGCCGAGTTATTCCTCCACGCAGAGGGAGTTTAGCAAACGCGATCATTATACAAGCAGTTCAGTTAGGAAGTATTAATTGTATTGATTTAGTTGTAGTGTTGCGTTTTTTGGAAATAAAGACGTAGATTAGCAGAGAAAATTTTTAATAAAGTATCGTCGTAACCTTATTTGAAGAAGTCGTTTCGTGTAATTTGCCAAGTGCGAAATTTAATTTTGCGAAGCGGAACTTTCATCTCATCTCTGGATAAAATGAGCAATATATTCCGACATTACTTATTTTATTAGATTAAAATCTACCAGAACAAACTAGGATACGAATTACCAAACTAATGGCGAAATTATTGTGCAGACCTTTCACTTATCTCGATTTACATTTTTAACAGGGATTTTGCAACGGGTGAGGGTAAGTCGACTGATTCCCGGTTATACATTCTCTAGCCCGAATAAATATAATTTTACTTCTCTCTCCGTGTGTTTTATTTTTATTCACGGAATCCTAAATCAATACGACTTTTCATAAATCGCAAAAGTTCAAAGGAGTAATCGAACGGCAGCTTAATTCGGGGCAAAAACGGGCACTTTAATGAACTTTTCAAAATTTTATTCCCCTCTTGTCTGTCCACCCTGTGGTTAGTGTTTGCTTTACTACGAATTGGGTCTGCCGCTCAGCTCTTTTGGTTGTTATTCCGACCTGTATTTCAAATCGCGTGTAAGAAATTACCGAGCATACATAAGAGAATGTCCCATGTTCGTTCTTGTGTATGGAAAATCTCTCATATAAAAGGCTCATTTGACTCGCTGAAAAATGAAATCTAATAAAAGCGCAAGGAAGTTTCTCCCCGTAAACCTTAGTAGTGAATTCCCGTCAATTTCCTTTCCGGAAAATACATAAACTTCGTTTATGGATAACTTCCAGAGGCCTTGAGAAGCTTTTACAATAATTGTATGTAGAACAGAGTCGATTTAAAATTAATCGACTCGAAAGCAATTAATTCGGAGAATCGACTTGATTAAGTAGTTTGTGAGTTGTTTTTTTCACCGTTTCGTAACAGCACTTAAACCGCCAAGTATTTTTAGAGAAAGGTATGCAATTTGGACGTCGACACGTTTTATTTCGAGCGAATTTTCCCGACGTAATAAAATTATATTGAAGAATTGAGTTCCATTAAGGAAAAAGGAAACGATCTTAATTTAATTTAGAATTTATTACAACTACGGCTAATATGTATTAAAAGGAGGACGAGCGTACGTATCGTATAACTTCCGCCAGAATTCCATGGCCTCACTTCGGAAATTCTTTTCGATTGTCATGTCAAGATCGATCTTCAAGTAGGAAAAATCCTCCGGTTGGTAGCGCGGCCAAGTCGTATTTTGAAGTACTGGATCCTCGTCAGGAGTTGGATTGCTACAAATTTGTGAAATATAAGTTAGAAAAAATATGTCACTCGTGGTACCCAAATTTGGCAAAATTCGTCCATAGTTTGACCATACGTCTCCTTATCAACTTATCGGGTTCGTTGGCACGTTTCAAGTCCCTACGGCTGAAAAGATACCAAAGTTCCTCCGAATGCATCACACCTGCAAGGTTTTTTTTGTCAAAATTTGGAATTTTTAGGCAATTTTGGTACCGTTGACTTCATTATCTTCGCTCATTTGCAAAGCTTTTTTCCCAAGAAGATACCCTTGATAGGAAAATTCGTACATGTAGAGAGGAGCATATTTGGAGTAGAGTCTTGCACTTTGGATTATAGGACGATAAAAGGCGTTATCACTGTAGAACTACTAAAAAGATCAAGGATTTGTGAAAATTGTTACAAAAAACTTACATTGAGGTACTGCTCAGCTCTCGTTTTTGACCGGTCACCAAAATAAAACGTTTTAACTTCATCACCTGCTTTTTTGGCCTTATTGTTCAAATCACCCGGAATCAAAATTTCGCTAGGCAAAATATTGAGGATTGTTTTAGTCACCTCCATAGTCTTTTGAGGGATCCCAACCTCCCTCGAATTAAACCCGACAATGTATGGAACCTTCTCAAAATTCCCTTTTTTGAGTGCCTCGTACGTACTCTTCGTCAAAAACGCGTCTTCATGTTCCGGCTCAAAAACCGGCGAGTATGTTAACCCGTCTTCCATTTTGAATGTCAGAATAGGACCAGTAATGGCGGCCATTTTAAGTTTTTGGGTACTCAGAGTCCTCAAATGGGCTACAAGCTGGGACGTGGTACCACTCATAAAGCCAGCAGCCACTCCAATCTTCCGCGCGATTTCCGTTGGATGGGTTTGAAGTGCCCACGGACAGATGGTACTGCCACTCTCGGAAATGGCTCGATGGAACAAACCACGACTTTTGGGCGATATTAAATGGTACTGGACTGAGGCAGCCCCGGCACTTTCGCCGAAAATTGTGATGTTTTCCGAGTCGCCTCCGAAGAGGGGAATGTTGGTTTTTACCCATTTCATGGCCGCGAGTTGGTCCTTAAGGCCGTAGTTGCCAGGCGAGGCCGAATCGCCAGTGCTTAGAAAACCTACGTTTGTTGAAAAAAAATCAAAAAACTTTCAATTTATACCAAAAACGTTGACCCTGTAATTGAAATGCACGACGATGACGTCTTGTTCGAGCAAAAAATCGGGTCCGTAGAAGCTCCAGTTGGCCCATCCCAGGGTGAAACCGCCGCCGTAAATCCACACCATGACAGCTTTGGGTTCGGCATTTTCCGGCTCCGGCTGCCGTTACAAATGTACAAAATTAAAACCCGGAATCCGGAAACTCACCTTCGGCACGTAAACGTTCAAGTAGAGGCAATCCTCGGCCTCATTTTCATCCACTGGCGGAATCTGGACGCAGTGAGGCACGTCACCGTCGGCATCCAATACCCCTTTCCACTTATCGGGCGTTTGTGGTGGCTGAAATTAGCACTCGTGATCGTGGCTTTTTTCGTAAAGAGGAGAAATTACTTTGAAGCGAAGCTCACCAACAGGTGGTTTTGCATAAGGGATGCCCTCGTAAGAATAATAAGGCATGCCGAGGCCGTTAGTATGTCGCGCCCGGCCTTGGATTAAACCTTCCGGTAATTGGATTTGAAGGGAAGTGTTCTACAAAGTGACGATGCAGAGACGGATTTCGCCGCCGTTGGGACTTACTTGCGTGTAAGGCGAGATGTAGTTGAGGCACGTGAGGCCCGGCAGGAAGAAGAGCGAAATTGATGCGAAGCGAAGTACACACATGATGGAATTATTAGCTTTTGTTTGCGAGAGGAAATTTATAGAGTTTTTGATTCCCGGAAATGATAAGCGGGGGTTTTAATGATAGTTATTTGAGCTCGAATTATTCAATTCGTTGCAAGAAATTGGAAATTTGGTCGCTGATAAGGGATTACGTTTCCGGTTTATAATTTGTTTGATTTTTTTAATTTAGGACTGTTTCGTGGAGTAATTTAGGATATAGACGTTGTATTAATTGAAAATTAATTAATAATAGCTCCGATCAATTTTTAATTAAAGTGGAAAAAGAAATAATGAACGAACGGCATTAGATTCAGGGCTTTACTCTAGAAATTTAACGAGAATTTTAAAAGCTTCTGTCAAATGCAAGTTGAGTGCGGTTAATATTTCCAATAAATGTGACTTTCAAGAAGAAAAAACGAGTTTTAATAGTTTAATGGTTATAAAACTGGAACAGACTCAAGTTTTAATTTTTTTTTAAATGTCAAAATCTAATTTAAATCATTTTTGAAATTTGTTCTTGGGAGTTGTGCGCTATTGTCTCAAATAAATCAGTATGTATGTTTAAAACTAGTGCATACAAAAAAACTCATAAAAGATTCACGTCTTGTGTCTCCTCTGCAATATCAATTACTTTTTTCAATTCTTTTGTACCGTTGACAAGCATTTACTTGTATTTCAATTTCGTGAAGCAACTCAGGACAACACACGTGTTTTATTTTACTGAAACTGTTTCCAGTTGTTGCTCATTTTTCCTATTCCTTTTTTCCATCTGCGGATTAGTCTTTAAGCTTTTTTCTCCCCAAACAAACTAAAATATCAATATCAAAGCCATTAACCCACGCTTAACATTCTTTAAGGAACTAACACAAAATGACAGGAAACTTTGAATCCCTTTTAAACTTCGGAGTTTCAACGTCAATACATCGGAACAAAGGTGAGAGAATCATCGTTGATCTGTTGAATGTTTGAAAGAGAAGAACGATAATAAACCAGTAAAGTATTCGAGTTGTTTTATTTTGAACCTCAATCATGATAGACAGTGAGGCTTCCCTCCAGCAGCATCAACTTGGGGTAAGTTGTGTTTGACACGTGATGTTGTATCGATCGAAATTTGGGTGCCGGTTTTTAAAAGCCGATAACGACCGAAACAAAATCGTTTTGTGTGGCCTTTCACGCGGTTAATTTGACACCGATGTGGGGCTCAGTTTCAAAGCGTTTCATACAAAGCTGCTAAATTGGCTAACCTGCTGTATGATTGAGTGGCAAATAGTATTTCACCGGCGCGTGGATGTAGCAGACAATCAATTCAGAGCAGAACACCGTTCCATCATACTGATATATGACGACAGGTCGATACAAAATACAGATAAACACCGATAAAAATGATACATCGCACCGGAAAATCCACCCAAATTTTGGCTATGGTAGAGGAAATTCGGGTTTTTGCTCATTGATCATTAAATTTCGTGACTATCGGCATTGGAGCATGAAAATTGTAAACCGAGTCGTGCGTCTGCATCACCAAAACATCAGCAAACACATCCATATCCTTGTGAGCCGTGTGGCTTATTTGAATATGTGCGTGTGAGAGAGGGCTCCATTTCATGTCCCTGGAGATCGTCGGGGTCGAACGTAGCACACCCCCAACTCCCGTTGTTTAGCATTTCAATAATGCTCTACTTAGGGCTCTGTTATAACACTGTACGTGTTTCGAATAAGTCGACCACTAAACGTCGAATTATGATGTTAACAATGCGGGACAGACACGACCATTATCACAATTGATTTTTCGCCTTCCGCGATCGCTATCGACATGATGGAAGTCGACTCTCGGAGACAAAGAGATAACAACTTTGACCCAGTAGACAGTATCGGAAAAGCATTAAAGTGGGAGGAGATTGGCTAAATGCAACCTGAAGCCGGATAAACAGGGGACAGTTGACGCTCTTCCACTTTTATCCAACGTCTTACATTATTTTTACTCAAAAAATTGTAATTTTGCTTATTTTTTTTTTAATTTGAAATTTTTAATTGCTTGGGTTTTAAAGAACACTTTGATGTGTTTGGAAAATGCGGTAAACGTTCAGTCTAATACTAGATTATTTATCTAAGAGCTTTTGTTTCTGTACTCATGAAAAAGAACGTAAAATTTGATGAAATAAAAAATAAGAGTATCAAAATTTAATTTTTTATTGCTTATGTTTTAAATAATTCTATTATACTGGGTGTATCAGAATCGCGCCCCAGAAAAAAGTTCAAGTAAGATACCAGGAACATGAAAAAAATGTTTAAAAAATTCTCTGTCAAAAAATTTGGACATTTATATTTTGACATTTGACATTTTTTATGTCTATTTAATGATACTGATGATTTTTTATATGTTTTTTATAATTACTTAGTAAAGGTACAAAAATTTTGCCAATAAAATCGAGAAATATGGAAAACTTCAGAATTTTATACTTATTTATAATTGTGTTTTAAAAACCTTTATTGTCTAACATCATTTTAAAGCAAAGTTTAAAAAAAAGGCAGATGGTGTATAATTTGAAATATGTGGGTGCTGTAATTGTTTGAAAATAACTAGGTATTAAGACAACAAGAGTTAGTTTTATAAAAATAACAATATTAAAATCGAGGTCGTACTTTAAAAATTGTGTTCAAAATTTTTTCCAACGCTAATATTGGATCAGAATTTTTACTAAATCTAGAATTGTTATAAAGAAATTTGTCAAAATTGACAAAATGCCAAAATAATTGTATTTTATGGGAACGACTTTTATGTAACCTTTTTTTTACTACAATCATCAAAAAAATTACAGAATTTTATAAAAAAGTCCAAGCATTTCAAAATTGAAACTTGTCTTTAGTGTGTGTTACAAAATGCTGTGGACGCTCAAGGTCAAGCGCCCAATGTAATTACACTAAGAATAGAATAAATCAAGTAACATGAGAGATTTATCTCAGTTTGGTGTCGGATTACAAACTGTCCTGACTTAAGGTAGGTGAGACACAAGACCTACTTTTGTGTTTGCCTTGTGACATCCTAGTAGGCGAGGATAATTGACATTTGGCAAGTTAATTCGTTTTAATTGGCTCTTGGTTTGTCGTATTGGTGTCACGTGACTGGTTACTGTGATTTTTATTGGTTGAATTTAAGGAATGAAGCATTGTAATGGTTTTAATTCACTTTTGACAAAATATTTAGCCGATTTCAGCACACTACAACGAAATTCAATTGAACGTTCAATTGATAATTTGACTGAGTTCAGGTAAATCAGCCATGGAATTCTGTAGCTGTAAATTTGCGTCAAATAAAGTTTAAATAAAGGATTTTCCTTCTGCAAATAATTCGTAATCAAACTCGATTTATTGTTGAAATGGCGAGAAAGAAAATTTATTTCCATTTTTAGTATTCACTCCACGTGCTCTTCTTTTCTCTCTGAAATATTCGTTCTCGAAACTTGTTATATAATAATCAAAAGTGATACATCAACGTGAGGAAAGTGTCTCACTGCAGCATCATTGTAAATACAGAATCTTTGTTTAAAAGATCATAAATCTTGCTTTGTGTGCTGTGTTTCGCATGCTTTTCCTCGAAATTCCAATGCATCTAATCGGGGATCACGATTTATTTTCAATATTAAATTGACACTGAGATTATGATTGATGAGACTCTAAAACACAAATATCTGACTTTTGAAAGTCACGAGTTGGATTTTAACCATTTTCAATGGAACCTCCTAATTGCAAATTAATGACTTTCCCGCCATTTCATTCAGGGTTAATTACAATATTCATAAAAAAAGTAAATTGAAATATCACACTGCATAAAACGAGGCGTTTATTTCTGGCACCCTTGTAACAACCCGAAATCCCACTAGTGAGTATTTTTAGGTGTTTATCGCAGATCATTGACTTCCTAAAAATACCAAATTTTTTCAATGGATTTTCTCGGCGACGTTTTTCCTTGATGGAATGTAAATACGCCAAAGTTAATAACACTAAATCTACCCATATGATGCCCGGATATCGACTGGAAAATTTCATACGATATCAACAAAATTTTAAGGGTGCTCAGTTTTATAAAATATGCAATATTGCAGATATTTCGATCGGGGAAAGTAGCAAAAGTTGGATCTTATTATTAATAGAGAATAGCTGGAGAAATAGTAGTCGCTGTTGGTTCACCCTGTTCATGTTGTGAAATTTTAGCAAAATTTCGTTCAAATTGGCTGTTGGTCGTAGGCCTGAAAATTCCTGAAATCCCCGGAATCCATGAAATCGGTTCCGGATCGTCTCTCCGGACTCTTCACTTTTGGAAAATTACAAACCAACAGTTAGGTTTGAATATGAACGACGTCGAGGGTATAATAAAGCGTTCCTCTTCTCAAGTCACGAGTTTCGACTCAAAAGTAGCATCTCGGAGATATACAGAGAACGTTTTACGTCGGGATTCGATTCGGATTTATTCAGTGTGCTCGATTCCGGTAGATTTGGCAATCGGAAGAAGTTCTATTAAATTATAATGGCGATACTGTGCTAGAAAAAACTGATAAAAAGTCTAATAGGCCAATTTGGGAGGCCAGCCTTTGCTGCAATCAAAATTCAATAACAATTATGCAAATTGGCGTCCCGGGCAAAAGCGGAAACCTTGTGAAATATCCGCCGGTGTTTAATAAGCTGCCGAGCTGGAGCTTTTAAAAACATGCTTCCGCCGTGTTATGAAACCAGGCCTCGCATTCATCACAATTATTACAATGTAATTTAAGCCCAGGTATATGAAATACTCGTCGTGATTAAAGCGATTTTTCACCGGCGTCTTCCAGAATTAAAATTCCGCTTGATCGGACAAAAATTACTGGACTATAATGTGAAACAACACCTGGTAAT